GAGGGAAAAGTAAACCAAGCTATATCAGGAATGTTCTAGGCAGACGGCATTGTTTTGTCGGCAGATAGCCGGGAAAGGAAAAAAAAGGAATGCAGCAATTATGAAGCATAGGGCACTATGGAATTTGAATAGGTATTAGATTGCTAGGGGAAAGGAGTCATGGTATCAGGGAGATTTTTGGGCAATGCGGTATTATGCGCGAAATCTGAGGTCCAGTGGAGCTTAGAGATCCGGCAGAGGAGCGCGCACAGACTGTCACGGGGGCGTATGGGAAGGCATCCAATAGAAGGAGTGCAGGGGGACATGGGGCTGGGCATCTTTCGAGGCTAGGGAGGCAATCAGTGAATTGAAATTTGAACAAAGACTGGACACAATTGAGGATACACGATGGGCGAGAAAGGTATATAAGCATCCAGCGCCGTAGACTTTCCATTTTCCCGGGGGGGGGGGCAGGTTGAGAAGTTCTTGGGGAAGGGGGGGAGGGGGGGAGTGGGGGTGCTTTTCCGCGAAATATTTTTGCACCGTCAATTATCAGTAGCTTATTTTAGTGGGTATATGTCAATCACCGTGCAAGCTTAGCCGTGTGTTCATCGCCGGTACCACGGTGCATGCGCCGGCAAGCACAAATCTGAAAAATTCTCGCTAAGGATCATGGCCCGGGGAGGGGGGGGAAGGGGTTCTGCCCCCCCCCCCCCCCCGTAGTGGGGGGGGGGGGGGGCACGAGCCCCGATGCCACCCCCCCCCCCCCCGTAGTCTACGCCAATGTAAGCATGTGTACATGAAAGTTTGAACACTAGATGGACAAACCGAACCCGGAAACTAAAATTCAAATACAAACAGTCAAGTGCGGGGGCTGAACAGACTACCTCTGTGAAAAAAGGAAGTAAAAGAAGCCGAGAGAAAGATGAGAGAGGAAAGAATACAGAAAAAATCAACTTTAAATATGTATAGGAGACGAAAACAGGAAATGAGGGAAGAACATTGGTACTGTATAATTCACGGGGGAGCTCGTTTTAATTCGAGGCTAGAACAGGAGTATTGAGGACTAGGACATATAGGACAATGTGTGAGGAAATGAATACGCGGTGTGCCGTATGCCAAGGGGAAGACGAGACAATAGAACGGTGTTGAGGTGCACAGGGCTCACTCCCGCCTCCCCGGGGGGGGGGGGGGGGGGGGGGGGGGGGCGACGGATTTGGCTTTAGCGCTGGGGTTTGCAGACGAGAATGGAAGAATGGATGATAAGTGCATTTTAATAACAAAGAGGAGATTGGAAGCCTGGTGGAAATCATCTAGGGAGAATTGAATGACGTACAACTAACTGACGGTCTGACACAACTGGGGACGATCGGAACAGGAAAATTGGGACTCCCTCCCGCGTGACTCCGGCCCAAGGTCTCCACCCTGTCTCCTAATGGGCCCGGTGCCGGTGTAACGCCGACTATAGGTTTGACTAGAGGAACATTTGCAACTCCTTCGCCGGAGAAAAGAAGCGGGAAGGGGGGGGGGGGGGTGGGGAGGAGATGAAGTTTTTAGTTTTTTTTTGCTCGATCCCCCGAAGGTTACCCTGGTGATATCCCACACCACCTGGTGAGTCACGAAATTGCATAGGGTAAGAAAAGTAAGCATACTTTTGGTTCTTAAATTCTAGGCTAGGTGGTGCAAGCTACCGCCCGATATAAAGCGCACAGCCGTTAGCATTAGAGATGCCGCGAACTTTCTGCGAACCTGAGTTTCGAAGATCCAACCAAGGGGTTTGAAAGGTTCGCAAAGCTTTGAAACGTAAAAGTGACAGAAAAAATTCGACAATTTTTGAATTTCCAAAATTTGGCGCTGAGAAATTCGATTGTCTTTGAAGTTCCAATATTTCAGGCTGTGAAATTGGAAATTTTCGAACGCATCACGCTAAAAAAATCGACGATTTTCAAACTTTAGAACCTGCCGAGTTCAAAGGTTCGACGAACTTCGAACTAGTCCGAAACAAGTTCACTCTCATAGGTTTCAGGCGAAAAATACAAATACAAACACCAGATGTTAATGTGTGCAGTGGAGTTGAAATTACACTCAGAGTCTTACCGCTAGCTGATCGTGCCACAAACGACGTGCTTGTGGAGCTCTGAGTGATCGCTTTGGGGTGGCCTTGCCCAGGCACCTCACACCTTTTTCTTTAGAGTACCACACAAACCCTCCACAGCCCACGAGTCCGTAGGTTGCCCCGAGGTAACCTGTAGGCCAACAGATCCCTAACCTGCAGGCTTGAAATTCAGCCGGGGCGCTTCGCTGGGAGCGTCCTTCGTAGCATTAGTTGTTTTTGAACGCGAGTTTCTCGATTTCCTCGCGTCAAGGAAAGGCGCGCGCGGAGAGCGACGCCGATGCGCTACAGCGAACGCTGAATCGGCACTTACTTCAGTATCATTAGTAACTGGCTGCATTGCAGCGGCCAATATCTCCACTCATCAAATTAGAAAATTCCCAGGCAGCGGCAATACGGTTACTCCGATAACAACCGGTCGTGACCTGATCAGCTGTATTGGGCCGGGTGGCCCCCTAATTTAGTCTGGCTGCATTCTCCTCAACCCTGACTTAATTGTGTAGGTGCTGTGCCTGTGTTCAGTGTTTTATCCATCCCACGGGTCATCCCGCCGAAAGTAAGCACCCAGACCAACTAAACATTTTCGGGAAGCCTGGATGCCTTTATGTGAATGCGTTGTCCTGAATATTTAGTTGTCTTATACCGGCATTGCATTCAGGCGACTTTTGATCGGATTGGTACAAGTTTGCAAATAGTTAGGATGCACGTTCGCCTGACCGCCTCAGGGCTTTTCGATGAGCCGTTCAACGAGTCCAGCATTTGTTTCATAATTTGCGACAAATGACGAGTAATACAGGTAGTACCGTCAGTACCACAGCACTGAGAAGGAAGGTGTACATTCACGACGTGAGAGAAATGGGCAATGTTTTCAGTAAAATTTGTAGCAGATTTCGCGATTTTTTTAGGTAAATTCATGAAAACGCAGTTGGAAACTGCGGGATTTTATATCCATCCGTAAAATTCAGATTTGGATCTTAAAACCGAAACCTAAAAAAAAAATCTGAATTATTAGATTTTTCGAATTTTAATCTTGAATTAGTTTGAAATACTCAAAATTTTCGAACTAACTATAAAACAATATTTGTCATCTTTGAACTCGAACTTTTAGAAACCTTAACATATTCGAATTATCCGTATTCGAACCTCAGCGGGGTTCTAGGCTTGCGAACTTTTCAAATTCGAACCTTAGCGAGGTTCGAACATTTCGAACCTTTCGAACTCAAACTTAGGAAGGTTCGCGGCATCCCTAGTTAGCATCCATTCATCCGTCTATCCATCACAAAATCACTTGTAACTAACATAGAAGGTTGGGCTAGTTGGTATTTCATGATTAAAAATTAAAATAGCTCAAGGACACAAACAAGAACAAGAAGCCCTTGTTCGTCTACCATCTTGTTCTCGTCCGTGTCCTTGCGCTGTTTTAAATTTTTAATCACTTGTATCATTCGAAAAAGATGAAGGTTCGTACCGAAACTTTGTCATCTGGTTCGGAGCGCTAGCCCTACATTTGGACCGATAATGAGCGTTCGGTGACGCGTCGTTTAGTTTTGCGGCGAAAAAAAAAGCCCTGTAATTTCTTTTGGGAGACACCCTGTGGAGAGTTTTTGTTTAGCGTATATACGCTGCCAATAGTGGGTACCATGGGCGCGTTCAGAGCCATGCGATAATGCTTTAAAGTTCGAAGCACGAGATCTCGCTGGCAACTGGTGTGGAATGTTAGGAACCCTGGAAACTACACTATAAAAACAGAAGTATATGTCCGCTTTTTTTCTTGAACACGCAGATATCTAATCACCGAGAAGAATAGAATGATTATTGCCTGACGAAACTCAGAATACGATATTAGACCCGAAAAATTGTGCACGCGCAAGGAAAATGACCATAACATGTCACCTGCTCTTGTCCCTGCGCACATAAGATTGTTTTCAGCTCTAACCGTTTGCGTAACTTCATACTTGGCCGAGATCCTTCCGATCTCCGCGGTCATTGGCTACCGGCGTGTTCTGCGGGAAAGAGAACGCGCAGACCATTTTCTTAGAGTGCGCGCGATAACCTACAATTGTGCCAGGGAATTTTCCGATCTTTTTGAGCTTTCATGGCGAGTGCGTCTGAAAGATGGTGATGTGTTTCATGTGAATGAAGGTATACTTCGACAACTAGCCAGTTCGTTTACCCTTACACTTTTATTTACATGTGTTCCCTTTCCACATATCACATTTAGTTGGGTGGGCTAGACGCCAAGAGGGTCTTGGAACGTATATAGTCTTGCTCAACGAGTACCCATGCAGAGAAATACGAGCTTGTAATCGCTTTTCTTAGATTCTGCGTTTCCTTGTAACTGCGGGTCGGTTTTTCTCCAACCTACAGCGTAGTTGAATCAAGGAGCAAGTTTCTTGCAGGAGAGCTGTTGTATACAAAGCCTTTCACGATTAACTTACATACAAGTCACAAGGAGATCGATATGGTAGTCGCACACTTCATGATACTACTGTCCCTTCCAAAAGTATGAGAACAGGGGTCTTTCAAATGCCCGGCCTCCAGCGCGCACGCGTTGCCTTTCACCGTGTTTCGGCTTCCAGTGCGCGCTTTAGGCTTTCATGACTCCGAGGTCTTATCGAAGGTAGAAAGCTCAGGCTGTAGATAGAACAACTGAAGTTCCTCCCAGCCGTTCTCATTCTGTCGGCTGGTGGCCGTAGCTGAGTCCGCGGCTGCTGAGCGCGAGCTCAGGGCGAGCTTCCACAGCTCTTTTGCAACGCGCATTCCGCACCATCGAGATTGCCAAACTTAGCAGGCTACATATGAGAGCTCATTCGGAGCATGGGCAATGAACAGCGCACTAAATATGGCGTCCAGTGGATGTCCCCTAGCACTTTGAGCGTCTCACTCGGCGTCCACCCACCACGCAAGGTCAGTCGTCCACCGGTATCGAAGCACATTGACTCACAGAACTCATCTTGGTGTAACTGTTCCTGATGGGATGCGGCGAGCCTCTGTGCGTCGAGGATTGCGTCTCCTCTTCCGTCTCCACGGCTGGCGTGATCACGTCCCTTTGCCTGTGGTTGCCTTGCAGAGACAGCAGAATGCCCCTATTGTTCGGCGCGGTGTGGAGCACAGAGGACGTGTCCTTGTACCTCATGGCCCGCCTGGTACAGAAGCCGTACCGACTGAGCAGGACAAACAGGTCCCGGCGGTACTGCTTGGTCAGGATGGCGTAGAGGAAAGGGTTGGCGCACGAGTTGAGAGGGTAGAAGAACACCAGCAGGATCTTGGAGTTGGTGACGTCGATGAGGGGGTAGCCCGCGACCGCGGTGAGTCCGAAGAAGGCGATGGGCGCCCAGCAGGCGAAGTCGGTGAAGACGAGCAGGGCCATTCTCTTGGCCACCGTGGTGTCTCCCGCGGAAGCGTGGCGGCCGGCGATGGAGGCGTACATCTTGCCGTAGCAGGCGCAGATGAGGAGGAAGGCTAGGCCGTTGCCGCTCAGCAGGGCCGCCAGGTAGGCGAGGTCGCGTGGGCCCCGCGTCTCCATGGGCAGGCAGATGGAAGTCTTGGTGTAGCTGCTGACTCCCAAAAGGGGCAGGGAGGCGGCCAGGCCGGCCACTGCCCAGCCGGCAGTCATGACCTTGGCGGCGGTGCGGAGCTTCAGTCTCCGGTTCAGGTGGATGGCGTAGGTAATGGCGTACCAGCGTTCGAGTGTGATGACGGTGAGGGTGAAGATGGAGAGTTCGGAGGCGAAGACGGTTAGGAAGCCGGCCACCTGGCACCCCGTACCTGCGGTGATACAAGGTCTTGTCGACTCGAGCATGGAAACATTCTACTCGGTTGGCTTATAATCAAATACGTCACGGTGCTTGGTCTGTTGAGTTATCGAAATTACGATGCACACTCTTAACATCACAGACAACTTGAGAGAAAATTTGTTTTCGTGTTACCATAACAATGTTGCCTCTATTCGTTACATTGAAGTCTTCACTAGTACGTGAGCCTACCGTTAAGTCAGCTGTCGGTTTGCGTAATGAACCTCTAACGCTGGATCTGACTTACTAGCGACCAAGTAAAAGCATGTTTTGATTTTCAAGAGAAATTGTGCACGCCATATTTAAGCCACGGTCACATCGCTAATATTTCCTACAAAAGGCAGTTTGTAGACACTGCCTGAGGTCTGCTTCCTCCTTGCATGACGGTCTTCTTACATTGGTCGAACAATACACTGTCTGCAGGCTTGTTCTAGCATACATATATGCGTAGTAAGTGAACATGGTTCGGATGTGCTTGTAGCGTGACCTACAATGATTCTGTCGTTATGTCTACAGTGAATATCGTGTCGTTTGTATCACGTATAAGCAGTGTGACTGCTGCTTCAGGATCTTGCCCCCTCGATATACAAAGGTTTCCATTAGAACGCGAACCTATCGTTAGGTCAGCTATTGGTTCGTATAATTAGTCTCTGAAACCGCGTCTGACCAACAGTTGACCACGAAAAAGCATGCTTTGAGTTGCGAGAGAAAGTACACACCAACACGTTGTTTACAAAACATGCCCACGTATTCCCACACACGGTGTGGGCACAGCGCATGCGCAGAAAGCTAATTCACACGAGGTATAAAGCGTCGGCGTACGTGCAGTGCCGACATCTGCTCCACAGTAGTGGCGTGACATTAGAGAGTTAAGTTGGTGTACACACGCCAGCTGGTTAGGACACATTATAGTGTTTTGATGGCGGTCTTATACACGTTTTTAAGTGCGGTCTCGGGGCGGCTCCATCTTGCTCAGTGGGGTGCGCTTGGGCGCTGCAATGATCCGATTTCGACGCCTTAGCAAGGCTTCGGAATCGGATTAGGACGCGTCCAAGCGCACCCCAGCGAGCAAAATGGCAGCGCCCTGAAGCCGGACTTGCAAGCGTGTATAGAGTATACACAGCCGAAAAAAGTTCGGGGCCCCACCGTGCTGCCAGGGTATGGCGTGGTTGAAGTAGGCCCCGGCCGAATGGGCATCTACGGCGGCCAGCAGGAGGAGGTAGGCGCCCATGCAGAAGTCGGCGAAGGCCAGGTGGCACATGAGGAACTTGGACACGCTGAGGCTGAAGCGGGAGCTGAGCAGCACCAGCATGACGGCCAGGTTGCCCAGCAAGGCCGCCACCAGGACCAACCAGACGGCCGCCCTCAGCCAGGACCTGCCCATCACGTCCTCGCACGGGTTGAATGCGTCCGGGGCCGGGCTGCAGGACACGCTGCGGGTGGCCAGGGCGCCGCAGGCCACCTCGAGGAAATAACAGAAATTAATATATATATATATATATATATATATATATTTATTTATTTGTTTTTGCATAGCATTCAAAAGAACCGAGGCAAGGCGTCAAGCTGCTTTATTTGCAGCTTGACGAATCCCTAGCTCTCACACAATGGCCAGAAAACAGCGGAAATACTGCGCAAAGCAAAAAGATTTAGAACACAAGAAATTTGTACCTGTTTATAAGGCGTACTTTTTAAAAAGGCAATAGCAGTAACTGGTGCAACGAAAAAAAAATGACGGAAAAACGAATTATAACAAAGACAAGTCAACACCTTACAACAGGATTATGTAGTGTAACTACATTTCACTCATTACGTTGATTAACATAGATCTGGATAATAAAGTAACATCAACATTTCTATTTTAAAGCTCATTTAGAACGGATGGCAAAGTATATATTAACGATACTCTACCGCAATTTGTGTGAGGAGTAATAACACACCATGCTCTCGCCATGTCCAGTTACATATGTTGGGCCTGTTCTCACCAAACCCGACTACTAAGATGTTATTTCGTTTTATTGCCCTTATATACACCCATATCAAGCGATAATTATGCAAGAAAAAAATTGGCAAACTTTATACATGCAGTTCAAAAAGTTATGCCCATGATTGCAAGTATGGAACGTTTGCAACCATAAGAAGTCCCTCCATCTGTGTTAAAAATAACTGCGTCAGATTTTGGTTTGTTCTTAGACCCCAAACCAGGTGGCAGTACGCGTAGTGTGTGTACACCAGAGAATAATATAGAAACACATTTACTTGCATGGAAATTCTTAACGACCTTTACATATAATTCTAATAGCTCTACAAACTTTCTGGCGAATATGCACCACATCTAGATTCCAAGAAAATCTATTAGTAAAAATCACACCAAGTATCTTTACAGATTTTGCAATTTCCAATGAGGACAATCCAAGCGTAATATTCGAAAGCAAGGTGATTTCATGATTTCGAGGTCTAAAAGGTATACACACTTTGTTTTATACGCATTTATTTTTAAACCATTTATTTGAAACCACAATTGAACGTGCCCATGGGAAACGTTCAATCTCAAAATATGTACGACTTTTAATAAACAGAACAGTATCGTGCGCATACGAAACAATCTTTGCTTCTGGTGCACATTGTTCAATGCCATTTATAAATACTATAAACGGCAGCGGTTCAAGAACGCTTCCCTGTGGGACTCCAGTCCCGATTTTACTTGTGGATGAATTATAATCATTTGTGCTAACAAATTGTGTACGATATAGCAAATATGATTCGAAAAGTTTAAGTGATGTGCCGCGAACTCCATGGTACTCCAACTTTTTAACAGTAAAGTGTGGTTGATGAGGTCAAAAGCCTTCGAAGATTAGACGTACACACTCAGCATAAGCTCTTTACCCTCAAACAAATTTTAGATTTTTTTTTTTTTTTGTACTAGGACTGCTGTTCCCGTTGACCTCTGATTTCTAGGGAAATTCGGACAGTGTCGACGGTTTTTTCAGGTATGAAGAAAGTCTTAGTTGTATTATTTTTTCAAGCCCTTCCGGAAAGGTGGAAAGAAAAAGTGTAAAATAAAAAAATTGGTGTATGATTTTTAAACAACTTTGGCATTTCGCATCTCTCGGGAAAACGTGATACAGGAGCAAACATTTTAAGAACATATTTTATTGCCCTAGAAGTAAAGCCGGTAATGTCCCGGCTTTTACCATTTCTGAGGTTTCTACACACGGAAATAATCTCACGTTCATCTACAACAAAACAGAAAAACAAGGTATCTTTACTAAGGGCCGGTTGCACCAACGCCGCTTACCTTAACCCAAAGCGGCACTTTCCTGAGCCGGCTTAGCGCCCTAAACCGAGCTTAGGTAAGCACGGGTTTAAATTCCGGTTGCACCAAGGTTAAGCCGGCTTTACAGACGCGCCCCTAGCTAAACGCTGGATTTGCGTAGGGAATCTAGGGACAAACAGAGCAAACTAGGGAACGCTCAGAGCGACGAATACGATTGGCGGAGAGGAATCACGTGATGTAAACAAAAACAAACAAAAAAAAAAAAGAAAGAAAAACTGCCGTAGTAGCCGTCGTCCCGTCGTCGGCGTCTGCTTTTCGTTTCGCTGTATTTCTTCGGTGAGTAACAAATTAAAGGTCTCCAAATTCAATCATTTTTTTCGTTTAACTTTCAATAACAGAAGTCAAAGCTTCAAATAAACACGAATGCTCTTTACATCTGTGATTGTGTGTTTAATATCGGTTGATAACAGGATATTTTGACAGTGGTAGTAGTTTTCGTGGTCACATTTTGAGGCGAAGGAGCCATCGGGGGCCCCAGATCTCACCGAACGCGAGAAGGACACTCTACTCGCTACATCGCTGAAGACAAAACGTCATGGATATAAACCAAGTCAAGCCTGAGACCGATGAAGTTCAAAACAGTGACGAACTCGCCACGGCAGCTGCGAAAATGCCCGGAAATCGTCGAATAGAAGTCGTCGAGAGGTCAGGTCACGAGACCTTGCATCGACGGTACTCGTTGCTATCAGCAAGGTGACAGAACTGCACTGTACCGTCGTTGAACAACCGCTGCAGCCTCAAACGGACTTCAGTTTCACACTGTCGAGTTCAGAAAAAAAAAACAAAAAACTCCCACTAGTACATCACATCGCGCCGATAAGAACGGTCGTCTCTTCGCATCACCTGCCCCAGCCTGCCCCGATACAGCAATGAACGAATCTAACATAGTAGTCGTTACGATTTGTCGTCGCCACGAATTAAAGATATAAAGCAAAATATTCCTAAAAAATCGCGATCACCAAAAAAATTACGGAGGACACAACAAGGCGCAACTTTCAACTGAATTTTATTGAAAACGTGTTCCGGTATATAGTCTCAACCATCGTCACAATGACAACAAACGACAAAAGTAAAGGGAAAACACCATCACAGAGCACAACTCGGAAACAACAGTATCTCGTTCTCGGGAAACGAATGAAAGATATAAAGCAAAGTATATAAAACAAAATGCGATCACCAAAAAAGTTACAGTTATGGAACGATGCAGTTTTCTGAAGCCAAGATTCTACTCGCGAGATAAGGAAAATTCACTGAAGATTGTCTCAAAACTCAGAAAACGAAAGAAATTGAATTTTCGCTGTTTTATTACTTAAAAGCGCCGCAATCTAATGCAAACGGCAGAGGTGTCGACAATCAGCTGATCGCCGAGATCATGTACTGCCACTATTTAACGCGCTGATCAGATTGAAGGATACGCGCTACAAGTGTAAATAAACAAGGTGGTAAATAACAATACGTTACAGCTATGCGAAAATTAGTAAGTACATACGAATAAGCTCGTTGACAGAAGAACCAACGGGAATACAGACGTGAGCCCCACAGCTCCGTACGTTTCTCGGTTAGGGCTAACACGCACTGAAAGTGGAGAGCCAACTTGAAAACAGGGTCGATAAACACTTCACGCGACGATATTTTGCATCCTTGTCACAATCGAAGGTCATTCTGTCGAAACTCTCACGCTGATGTAGCCTAAAACACTTTGCACAACCAATTTCGTCCACCGCGTCGACCGTGACAAACCAGCCGCCATGTTTTTAATCCAGGATTAAGAAACAACCAGAAGCAAAGCGCCCAATGTTGGGCGCTTAAGTTAAGCGTAGTTTAGTGCTAGGTTTAGCGATAAGCGAGTTTGGTGCAACCGAACGAAACCGAAACTAAGCTTAAGTTCCCGGCTAAGCTCCGCTTTGCGCTAAGCGACGTTGGTGCAACCGGCCCTTAGAGGTGCAATGCAACAATTTTTGTACTTTCAATAAGTACCGTTTAAAAGCTGGTTCACACATTTGTGTCGATTTGGTCCATTGCGTTTACAGCGACCGAAACGAAAACAACGGCAAAGACGCCGGGACAAGTGTTCTCCGTACACAACGTGGCACGATCGCGAGAGGTATATAGCTTCGCGAAGCGATCATGAGGCAGGGTTGTTCCAGTGTTCTGGTCGTTTCTGTCGTTTTTGGTTGTTGTGAGCGCAACCGTCCCAAATGTGTGAATGAGCCTTTAGAATTATTTCTTGACAATCAGAACCTATGACTCACGCGTTCATTTTATTTATTTTTTTCTACTCGATGACCATCGGAGGAAAAAAAATCGTGAAGAGCGAGCATTAATAATAGACGAAGAGCGTGTTGGTGCGGGTCAAGATTAAATAAATAAACATGTAGGACGAAGACGACAGAACCGCATATTTTATAAAGATGGGGTTGTGTCGCCTTGGTTCTATGATGTTTATTTTTTCTTCAAACTTAAAACGAGCAGCGTTCGCCCCTACAGTGAGGTCCTCACATCTTCGGTAACAAATTTGGCCAAAAAAAAAGTTTGTTTTGATCCTTGAAATTACACAGCGACAAAGAAGCCCCTTGATCAGTGTCATCGCGTGCAAGTATTCTTGGATCCCGTTAGTGCCAGAAAGCTTGTGCAAAACGAGAAACATTCCTACCCAACATCGTTGCACGGCCCCTTTAATGCAGGATTGCATTCGTACGTGTAAGCGCGCGTGTCGTGGAACAGTTAGAAGCACCAGTTGACCAGTCGCCAAAAGCTTTTTGAGACAGCAACAAAAGCAACTTACAATTGTGAACGGGAACCGATTATTTCAATTACTAAAGATTGAGAAAATAAAATGAAAGCCGTTCGCGTAATGCCGGATTAGAGCGCAGCTCTTGAGGAGGAGGATGGAAGGGTACTGAGGGATAGGTGACTCCCTAAGGTCACGTGACCTCACGGAGGGGTCACATGACCTCAGGGAGAGTCACGTGACCTCAGGGGTCACGTGACCTCAGGGGGGGGTCACGTGACCTAAGGGGTGTCACGGTCACGTGACTTCAGGGCGGTCAGGTAACCTGAGGGGGGTCACGTGACCTAAACTTAGAGGGGAATTTTTTCCACTAAATTTAGCGAGGAATTTTTTTCGCTAAATTTAGCGGCGAAAATTTTCTGCTAAATTTGGCGGGGAAATTTTTCCGCTAAATTTAGCGGCGAAAGTTTTCCGCTAAATTTAGCAGGGAAGAATGTTCCGCTAAATTCAGCGGAGAAAATTTTTCGCTAAATTTGTCGGGGAAATTCTTGTGCTAAATTTAGCCGGGGAAATATTTTCCGCCAAACTTCGCGGAAAAAATTCCGCTAAATTTAGCGGGGAAATTTACCCATAATGCACCGCGCGGTCACGCCGACAGCGACGGCGACGGCGACGCCGCTCAAGCCGGAAACGGGCGCCTAAGAGCAGCGCTCTAAAAACTATATTATATTAAGGTTTGTCGTCTATACAATTAGAT